CTCCTTGGCAGAGGAGACTGAGCAGAAGTTACGGCCCGACAGAAGGAACTGCCGCCTCGCAGGAAAAATAGAAGCCGGCACGCGCGAGAGAGCTGCTGGAAACCTCGAAAACACATGCACAGTAACTTGGGGGGTAATCAGGGGGAAAATGACAAGATTAAAATAGCATGCATAACTGCCAAAAGAAAGGGTGTTAAGAAACGACCAGAAAGGGTAATTGATGAGTTTCTTGGAAGAGGTAACTCATGAATTGACTAGAGACACAGCTTTAGGGAAAGAGTGGAAGATCAGGCCAGAGGGGAAATTTAGAAGCTACACTTCTTCAGGGGAAGGATGGGGGTCTGCCCTCCACTGAAAGGAAGAGAGGACGCCGGGAGGGAGGCCGCCACCAGAGTCCTCCACGAGGCTGACATGGCAGGCTCACTAACGGCACGGCCAGGCCATCTGAAGATGCCCCTTTTTCTCACCTGGCACTGCTTCTTGTTCAATACTGCCAACAGAACATTCTTGGACAAGAAGATTAAACTCTGAAGTCCATTGCATGTGCAGAATACAAGCCTTGCCCTTGAGGAGTTTACATTAATTCCAGCCTGGGGCAATAACCTACAGACCAAATGACCCTCAGCGCGCCCTTGTCAAATCAGACACTGGACAGCAGATTCCCAATTTAGGCTTGTGTTCTAAATCTTTCAATTTATAAACATCAAGATTCTAACAGAACAAGCAATACCCCAGTGTACATTTTTTTTAAGTTTACATTATGTCCCAAGGAATAAATTTAAATAGACATGAGCTCTATTTATGTGTTACTGGGGACTGTTTCTCTCTTGCTTTTCCAATGGAATAAATTACAAATGCTTTAAAGTCAGACAAAATCTGCTATTTTCCCATCACATTGACAGCACTTAATGCCCCAGAGGTTTTGAGGTCTGGTCCAGTCTTGCCTTTAACATGCATTTGAAGGGACTTCAACTTGATCTAATCAGACAGGGGGTAATCAGGGGGAAAATGACAAGATTAAAATAGCATGCATAACTGCCAAAAGAAAGGGTGTTAAGAAACGACCAGAAAGGGTAATTGATGAGTTTCTTGGAAGAGGTAACTCATGAATTGACTAGAGACACAGCTTTAGGGAAAGAGTGGAAGATCAGGCCAGAGGGGAAATTTAGAAGCTACACTTCTTCAGGGGAAGGATGGGGGTCTGCCCTCCACTGAAAGGAAGAGAGGACGCCGGGAGGGAGGCCGCCACCAGAGTCCTCCACGAGGCTGACATGGCAGGCTCACTAACGGCACGGCCAGGCCATCTGAAGATGCCCCTTTTTCTCACCTGGCACTGCTTCTTGTTCAATACTGCCAACAGAACATTCTTGGACAAGAAGATTAAACTCTGAAGTCCATTGCATGTGCAGAATACAAGCCTTGCCCTTGAGGAGTTTACATTAATTCCAGCCTGGGGCGATAACCTTCAGACCAAATGACCCTCAGCGCGCCCTTGTCAAATCAGACACTGGACAGCAGATTCCCAATTTAGGCTTGTGTTCTAAATCTTTCAATTTATAAACATCAAGATTCTAACAGAACAAGCAATACCCCAGTGTACATTTTTTTTAAGTTTACATTATGTCCCAAGGAATAAATTTAAATAGACATGAGCTCTATTTATGTGTTACTGGGGACTGTTTCTCTCTTGCTTTTCCAATGGAATAAATTACAAATGCTTTAAAGTCAGACAAAATCTGCTATTTTCCCATCACATTGACAGCACTTAATGCCCCAGAGGTTTTGAGGTCTGGTCCAGTCTTGCCTTTAACATGCATTTGAAGGGACTTCAACTTGATCTAATCAGACCATACTGAAAGTGAAAGTCACTCAGTCGTGTCCGACTCTTTGCGAGTCCATGGACATATAGAGCATGGAATTCTCCAGGCTGGAATACTGAAGTGGGTAGCCATTCCCTTTTCCAAGGGATCTTCCCAGCCCAGGGATTGAAGAGGGGGTCTCCTGCATTGCAGGCACATTCTCTACCAGCTGAGCCACCAAGGAAGCCTACATATATAACATTGTCATAAAACATACAAAATGCACCTCTATAAGGTGATAAAACATTTCATAAATCAGTGAATACATGTGTTAAAAATCTTATCTAGGAAGTGTTTTATGATGGATAGCACACTTATTATCAAAGTATACTTGATTTTTGAAGCCTTTGGAAAACTTCTCACAATTATCATTTTATCTTCTTTCATGCTTTGTAGCTAGAACCTGTCACCTTGGCAGCCAGTCTGGATGCCTGTCAGTCAAGAGTGGTCATGTGTTCTGATCACGTCCTACGAAGCAGAAATAAAACCAGACCACCAAATGGCACACCATGGTGTCCGAGTGTCCTTTGTTGGTGTTTGGTTTCAGTTATTATCAGCTGATACAGGACAGACCAGAGTAATTCCACATCTACTTAAGGTTTTAAACTTCAGTTTCCATTTTTAATGTATTACTGGATAAACTATTCTATACATTTGTAGTTGACCCTTGGATGGGAGCTCGGGGGGCCAGTCCTGGTGCAGATAAAAATCCTGCATGACTAGCAGTTGGCCCTCCACAGAGGGGGTCCCTCCCCATCCGAGGGTCCACACCCGCAGCTGCACACAAGCGCGGGGCCCGTGCAGTGGGGCAATATTTACTGCTGAGCAGCCCTGCATACAAACAGACCCCTGCAGTTCAAGGGTCGACTCTACCTCCATAAGACTCTCAATATTTCTTTATAATCACAAAAATATATCCAATGAGAAATCAATAGAATATTTATTCCAGTAAAAGAGAAGTAAAACTGCTGGGTGTGAAATTAACTGATCAAAACGAATGACACCCAAGAAGTGAACCCAACGTTGTTCTGGAAGAATTCCCCACAAGCACCGGATTCTGTCTTTTTTTTTGAGAGGGGGATGTGAATGGCAGCTTTGCTCAAAATATTTGCATTTATTCCAAATAAATAAAATCACCATTCTGAAGTATATTGGAAAAAAGTAAATTCTGATAATATCCTCAATACTGATTCACAGTACTTGTTAAAATAATACTTTTCTATTATCAGCAGAGTCAAGGTTCCTTTAATATGCTACATAAAAAAATAAATGGAAAATAGTCTTAAGAATATACACAAAAGTGAAAACAGACTCTAAACAGGAATTCAATGTTTTCACTTTTTTCTTATTTGTATCTGTTAAGAATTCTGCAAGAACACTGAACTTTTTATAGTTTGGTAAACTATTCTTAATTTTAAAACATGAGATAGCATAGAAGAAGATTCAATTTAAAAATACAATTAATGCCAACTATGAGTAAGGCATTTTATGTGCCTGATGCTAACAAAAATGAAAATATAAAATAAAGTCAAATTCCCACTTCCAAGGACTTGAAACCTCTACTAGAAATCACGATGAGATTGGAGAATAACAGTAATAACTGCTATAATTACTCTTAACCCACTGTGTAAAGGCTTTTTAGGAATCATTCTAATCTCCACAGTGACTTCACAGGTTAGAAATCCCAGCTTTACAAAGAAGCTGGGGCTCAGGGAAGTGAAACTGTGTTCACGGCACAGTTTCTACGTGTCCAAGGTCTGCACGCTTCATCCACTGTGTTTGGTTAAACATTCTGGTTAAGAGAGCGAGTAACACCTACGTCACACGAGTGGTAAATTTCCCAGAGTCACTGGACGCTGAAAGCCAAGTGAATGGGACCTCAGTTCTCTGGGACATCAGGGCGAACACACACTGTGACCTTCTCAGCACAGGCTGGTCACTGAGGGGCCTTTCCTAAGGACACCGCAAAGGGCAGAACACTGGACAAAACCGGGCACACTGCTTCTAACGGGAGAGCTAAGAGAGGGAGAACCCAGCGCCCACTTTCCAACTGGAGAACACGCGCTCTCGTTATTTAGCTTCAATACAAATCGCATAAACATCGTTTCAAACATAAATATGCTTTTCAAGAACTTTCAAATCCACTGTCACAATTGATTCTTTCGAGGAAAGTAAACCTGTAAATGTACAATAATCGTTGATTGAATGAATGGGATTCAGAGAGGTGAAATTACTTAACAAAGGACACCTGCAAATCAACAGAAGCACTAAAACCGGAGTCTGGCGCTCTCTAGCTCGGCTGCTCATAGAAACACGCTCACACGTGGAACTGCAGCTCGTGTGTGCCCTCTCCCCTGAAGCTGTCAGGATCCTCCTGCAATTCGCTATTTCTACTCATATACATAAAAAGCGTAGTATCGAGCATATTTTATCCACATATTCACTGATCCCACAGGTTAATTTGGTGATAAACTACTGAACAACAGACCTGCAGCAGAGGAAACTGAGATTCTGAAATGTTAAGGGGTCTTCCCAAGGTCACACGGGTGAGTGATCGATATGCTGATGTGATGTCAAAGTTCACGTGCCTTCCAGGTGCTGGTTTTGATTAGGTATCTTCCCAAATATTAGTATATATGGCCCAAAGTATTACTATTTATGGCTCAGGTATTTTTTTATGGAGTGATGAGAATAAGTGAACTCAGGAATTAGTAAATAAATTCTTCTGTACTCAGACAAAAATCATTATGATCATGTAATCATTTAACAAACGAGGAGACCTTAACTCTACCTAGGACACAGGTACTGGAGAGGAACGCCATGGAGGTGGATGCGCCATTACCCGCCACGTGGGGCCAGCTGTTCGGCCAAAGCCCTGCCTTCCCAGGGGCTGTGAGCCTCATGGTTTGGGAGTGCATCCTCCCCTGACGCCCCCACCTGTGGACACGTTCATCCTGAGCCTGATAGCACGGAGCATTCCTGGCTCCCTGGACAACCCAGGAGGGTGTCTCTGGGTGCCTGAAGGCAGATAACTCGGGGTGGGGGAGGCGTCTCCTGATACATGACCCTAAAGGAGTCTTCCCGCCCCTGTTTTTTAGCTGCTTTTACAGCGGATCCATCCACCTGCTTGAACTGTCTTCACATTTCCTTTCCTCTGAGTTGGTTTTCTGCCTCTAGGGAACAGAGCTATGGTGGATGATGGAGACGCAGATGTTGTATTTCTAACAAGCACCTGACAAGGTTTGGGAATCCTTTGATTATCTTGTTAGGTCTGTCTTCAGAACAGGAAACACAAAACTACAGAATCTGTTGATACAAACCTCCCTTTCATTATCTTCATAAAGCTTTTCATCTTCTTTTTCCTATTGTTAAAAAAATAAATATAGCAATCAACTATCTGCAAGAAGGATATTGTCAAATATATCCTTAATCTCCCAAACTCCTCTCACCTTCCTGGTTGGGTCAAATTCTTTCTTGTTATAAATATCATTCAGCAGTTGGGTCTAAGCCTTGAGTATCTTGGCTACCACTGCTGGGATCCTCTTTCCCTTCCATTAGGTCAAGCACTACCCCTTCCCCACTCTAAACTCTTCATTTTTGTGTGCACCTTGTTACATATTTTTATACAAAATACAGAATATTATATGCTCAGTTGCACCTTGATTTTTTTCACTTAATATAATATTCCAGGGCCCCCAACCTCAGTACACGTGTCTATCTTATTGTTTTTATAGCTGCAGTGTTTTCCATTGTATGGATGAAGCATAAATTAATCAACCAACCCCACAGGATGAATATCTCACTTGTTTCTATTTCTTGTTATTTATGAGTAGATCTGTGGGATATTCCTAGCTATGGAAATGACGGTTTAAAAACATGTGCAGATTTAATTTTCATAGGAAGAGCAAAATTCCCTTACCAAAAGCTGTACCATTTACCTTTGACCCTGTTAAGAAGCATTTCATCTCCCTGCATCATCCCAGCCATGGACACCATCAACCTGATTTTTAAAACAAACTCACCATTTCTTGTTTGTATTTCTTTAAATAGGATAAAGTGGATATATTTTCTTACATCTTTCATTGATTTGTATTCTTCTCTGTGAATTTCCTATCTGTCTCATTTGCCTTTCTTTTATGGGATTATATTAATGACTCAATGAACTCTTTGTAAATTAAGAACATTTGCCTTGCAAATAGTTTCTTCCATATTTTGGCTGACTTTTGACTTTATGGTATTTTCCAAAGAGGATTTAATTTTCACGTAGAGAAAGGTCAAGGCTTCGGTGACTTCTTAAGACGTAGTCTCTGGAGATTGACTGAATATCCGGCTTCATTTTTAGTTCTCTCTGTTGGGAATAACTTCTTGGCCCCGGCTTTGCCACAGCCCTGCCTCTAGGCCAACCATACAGTAGTCATCTATTGTGCTCAAGGTTCTTGATCAGGTTCAAGACCAGTTACTCCTGCGTGCTGGGCGATGTGAGAGTTGTTAAGAATATAATAAAATAAAGTCTCTCTTCACAAAACTTACTCTGTCAGAGGACACAGGGGGAGTGCTCAAATAACTCTAAGAAGAGCCACTGTGTGATTCAGATGGTGTAAGAAGCAAACAAAGCACCACAGTGGGTCACAGAGGGAGAGCTACCGCCTCCTGCTGAAGGGTCCAGAAAGCTTAGTGAGGATGTTGGGTTTAGTAAGGAGCCTTGGGGGGCGGGAGAAACTTCAAATGGCAGTGATGAGGTTGTTGTTCAGATACAACTTGTCCAGCTCTTTGTGACCCATGGACTGCAGCACGCCAGGCCTCCCTGTCATGTCCATCCAGTAGGTGGTACCATCCAACCATCTCATCCTCTGTCATCCCCTTCTCCTGCCTTCAATCTTTCCCAGCATCAGGGTCTTTTCCAATGAGCTGGCTCTTCGAATCAAGTGACCAAAAGGCAGTAGAAAGTGCCAGAATAACCTCCATGGAGAGCACCCAAAATATCAACATCAACCTCTCTCCCTCCCCACTCCATGGATACACAAAATAACCCAGGACATTTTTAAACAGATAACCTTTTTGCAGGCAGGAAAAACTTAAAAAAAATCAATTAAAAGATTGATAACCCATATCTCAGAGTTAGATATAAAGGCTTAGAGTCCCAGAGGTTGGACAACTCCCATGCAAACCTGCCTGCAGACCACTCTGAACTCTTTCGAGGGTGCAGAATTCCTGCCAGGCCGGAGAGCCCTAAATACATGGTCTGTGACTTTATCTTCACATTCCTTTGGAAAGTGACTGAATCTTTGCTAAACTCTTAGACAATGTTTTACAAACTTAGCAGGCAGCACTCATGAAGTCCTGCTTCCACGCGAAGTGCCTTACAATGGATGGATCCAAAAAATCAGCCACGAGCAGGGCTGGAGAGATTGCAGCCCATCTCGATTCTGACAGTTCTCAGAGACCCAATTTAATTAAAAACATGTGTCAGGAACGCAGTTTGAAATAGATAAGGAGGGAAAGTACACACATCATCTTTATAAATTCACAGAAGAGTTTTCCAAATTAGCTAATTAACATTGATAAGATCCCAACTTTTTAAGAAGGAAAATATTATTAAAGTGTCAGATGTGGGCAAAGTTGTCCTGACCGTAACTAACACATTTAAAGCGTCCTGAGGATATAGCTATGCAACACTGCAAACGTATTTCACATCCCTGAACTTAATGAGTGTGATGAACTAAGTATACCAAAATAAAGTCAAAACAGCAAATCTTATGCTATATATTAACATGCTTTATCCTAAAATATTTCAACTAAATGAAACAGAAACGCTTGTGATCCAATATCAGAAATATGTATTTCTAAACATTGTTTATCAGTTCAGTTCAGTTGCTCAGTTGTGTCCGATTCTTTGCAACACCATGGACTGCAGCACAACAGGCCTCCCTGTCCATCACCAACTCCTGGAGTTTACTCAAATTCATGTCCATCACGTCGGTGATGCCATCCAACCATCTCATCCTCTGTCATCCCCTTCTCCTCCTGCCCTCAATCTTTCCCAGAATCGGGGTCTTTTCCATTGAGTCAGTTCTTTGCATCAGGTGGGCAAAATATTGGAGTTTCAGCTTCAGCATCAGTCCTTCCAATGAATATTCAGGACTGATTTCCTTTAGGATGGACTGGCTGGATCTCCTTGCAGTCCAAGGGACTCCCAAGAGTCTCCTCCAATACCACAGTTCAAAAGCATNTTTTTAGTTGTCAAATATCTCTCGATCAAACAAGTTAAAACAGAAGGGCATCAGTTCTGTTTTCCCAGTGCACATATTTCATACAGATCAGTCACATAATCTCACCACTTACTACAGGAAGAAACACGCTGCATGCGTTGACGGCACATCCAAAGCATATGGACGGGAAACAGAGAAAACCCAAACCACACGGTGTGTTCTGAGCAAGCTCACGCGGCTGCTGCAGAGCCTGTGCCACATGCAGCCTCAGCCAAGACGTCGTCACACCACACGGACGCCCCATAAAACCGATGCCCGAGGTACTCGGAACAATGGAGCCTCCCCACACCCCCTGCCATGGCGCCCCTCCCCTTCCTCCCTTCTAAAGATGCATCTTGAGAGTTGTTGGGGGAAAAGCTTTTCAGTCTGTGCCTGGAAATACAGCAAAAGGCAATTAGGATTAGTGTAGAACCATGAACACTACGCCTGCAATTTCTGACATATGAGAGACCTGAGGTGAGTACAGCCTGCCTGGAAGACACACACTCTGGTCCAACAATTCTACCCTGGGGTGAATTGGCTCTCAGACCCTTGTCCCATCCAATGGGAGCTCCACCCAACATGTTACAAGGATAAAGAGGGGCCGTAGACTCAGGCTGGCCAGTACAAAATGAACGGAGAGTCAACTCACCCTGTTGCTTTCAAAATCAGACGTGTGTCTGTCTGTCTCTTCAGCGTCTTTGACGATCTCGGCTGGTCTCTGGGGATAAAAGACACCACATGCTGGATTTAGTTACAGTCAACCTCGTCACGGTCCTTCCAAGCCGCAAAGAGCGGGTGAAACCCTGTGACCGCCTGATGCTTGTACGGGCAGAGACAAAAGCCACCCTTTATCCCACAGAGGTTTCTTCCCACCCAGGATAGCATCTGCTCTGCATTTTTACCTTTGCGCCAACGAATGCCCACCTCTGTAATAAAATTGTTGGGGAAAAATGTTAAGAGACACTGCAAATGCCTTTTGGGTAAAAAGGAGAGACTGGTCACTGCAGACCCTCTGCAATTCCCAGCATACCCGTGGGGACCCCGAACAGCACCCTCCTCCGGGTCCAAGAGACTGCCTGGCCCTGCTCCCTCCAAGGCCGTGGGCACACTACGCTGTGTGGGTACCTTCCTGGTAGTCACAGCTTGTTGGCAAAAGGCAACAAGCTGTTGCAGTCGGTGCCCTGGGGTCTCTCTCTGCTCTGGGAAAATTGTGTGTTCTGGGGTCAAAAATCAAAGGCTCCCCTGGGTGCTTCTGGGGCAGAGGAGGGCCTCCCAAAGTCAGCCAGCCAGCAGAGTCCAACCTCTGGTGCTCCCATGACCTCAGAGGCAGAAAGGGCTCGTGGTCAAGTGCACACTGGCCCTTGAGGCCTCTGCCTGGACAGATCGCTTGTCATCGGGGACAGCAGGTCATGTAGCCACACCTGACTTAAAGTCAGTGGACGAGTGATCGGATTGATGCCAGCGCTGAGCCCCGAGGGCCCGACAACTCCTGCCAGCTGATCCTGAACATGCAGCCCTTGGCTTCAGCTTCTGTGCAGGAGCCCAGCCTCGAGGTCAGCCCCCTGGCCAGCTCATCTGTCCCCTCCTCTCCTCCGGGGGCCACGCGGGGCTTCACCTCCCTCCTCCGTGAAGCCAGGAGGACGGGAACGGTGAGCGAGGGTCCCCGGCGTGCCAGGCCCTGGACCGGACACTTCCACGCCGAGTGCACAACACTCAGCGCCCAGGCCGACCAGCTCGGTGACGTCACCTGACTGCAGGGACAGGAGGCTGAGCCTGAGAGCAGGAAGCCAGGAAGGGACAGATCCCTGGTTCCCAACCACGTGGTCTGAAGACACCACTCATCCTGTCTTTCCAGCAGTGATTCCTAGGAGCCTCCCACCTGCCAGGCCCTCTCCTGGGAACAGGGGCTATACAAGTAAGTAATGCAGACCATCCCATTGGTGTGGAGCTGGTAGCTTGGCCGGGGGGGAAAGACAGGAACCAAAACAATGACAAGACGGAGTATGCAGTCACAAACAACTGGTCAGTGGGTCCTGGTAGCAGGAGAGTCTTGGGGGAAAAACGGGCAGGAAAATGTGAGGAGCAGGATCTGAAGGTTGTTAACTGCAGGAGGCAAAGAACATTCTAGAGGGGCCAGGGAGAGCTCAGGGGAGGGGCCGGGGATGTGAGCAGGCAGGGGGAGGGGCCACCCACCCCGTCCACAGGCAGCTCCACGTGCACGTCTGGGGCCTCCTTGACTTCCGGGGCTCCTTGGGTCTCCTGGTTAGGAGTCTGGGCTTTAAACACGTCACCATCTGGAGGAAAATAACACAGTGTTTTCAAGCTGATGTGCACTGCACCTTTTCTGACCCAAACCAGAGTTACAGCTCAGCATTCTCAGAGCCTCCCGTGTCGTTGTCAGGCAGCCTGGTCCAGGGGCGGCAGGCCCTGCACGCCACCTCCCTCCCCGCTGCCCCGGTTCTGCTTCAGTTCAGGCGCTGGGCCTGGGGCCCCTCGACACCTGCACTGTGTCCACAAAGGTCCCGGGCCCTGGGAGTCGGGGTCATCCCTGTGTCCCCCCGCTCACGGGCCTCAGGCCAGAGGCAGATGCCGTGAGCATTCGACAAGGGTGTAACCAGCTCCCTCAGTTAGAAACAAATGCAAAGCAACCGCCAGACATCAACATCAGAGTTTAAGGCCACGCAGATGTACTCCTTCAAAACATATTCAAGAACTGGATTTAATAGGCAGGGGTTAAAGCTGTACACTTGAGTCACTCAACTGAACTGGCAGATAAAATCATGTAATAGCATTACAACTAGATGTGTTAAAAGCTTACAAAATCCCAAGATTCTTGAAAAGCTTATCCTCACCCTGATCAAAAGCAACAGGTGACAGCAATCAGAAAGAAGTGGGCCAGGCAGTTCCTTCAACATCCAAGAAGACACAGATGTGGCCGCTGATGGGCTCATGATCCAAAACGGGAGACTGTGGTCGCAGCCTATCCCATTCCTTGGTCAAGAGTCCTGGATCTCCCCGTCCCCATGGGTCCATTCCTGCCCTCTCTGGTCCCTGGCCTAGAAGAGCCACCCGCACGCCCTGGGCTGGAGGATGAGGGGCGGAAGAGGAGAGGAAAGGGGCAGGACCCACTGCGTCCCAGAGGTTCCTCTATGTGTGCCTTTGTTATTAACATTCAAGACAGTCCTCAAACAAACCCAGGGGGCCCCCTGCAGACAGAGTGTGGGCCCAGGTCTCGGGTCCAGCGGGGTGATGGCTAGAGTGAGAGTCCTAGGACACCACACCCCTCCCAGAGGGAGGGCACGCTCTGCGCCCGACCACCCAGGCCACGCCCACAGGGTATGTCTTCCCAAGAAAGACTTTACTCAGTGGTTGAATTTTCCATTGCCGCTAATATATTACAGAGTTTCAGGTCATAAAGGCTCAACAGGCTCAGTGATAGCCCCAGAGGGTGGTTCAGGACAGTATGACCTCGGTTCTCACGCATCTGCCTGGCCCGCAGGGCTGCAAGCTCCGCGGATGGAAGGAACACGTCTGAACACCCCCGCGTGTCCAGACCCGAGCATGGTGCATCACAGGACGATGCTTTGTCCCAGGATGGGGAGCACCGGGGTGGGGGGGAACAGTCAGAGAAAAACATCAGGGAAACAGCCAACGCTATAGCTTGAAGCACACACAGGAAGCTAAGAAGCTGTGAGCAAAGAGGAGAAAACTGAAGTCATTTTGTGTGGTACTGAGCGTCGAGGGAGGGGACAGCTTTAAGAGAAAGGACTTTTGAACTTGTCAGGTGCTGCGGAGAAGGCAAGGGGACCCCTGTCTCCAGTCACTCTCCTCTCTCCACAGCCAGCCACAGGACTAGGGTCTCCTAAGCGTCCATCAGACCTACAGGGAACACGGACCAGAAGCACCTTCTTCAGAGCCTGGACGCCCATCAGAGCTAACAACAGTCGTAACAGTAGCAGGAATAATACCAGTAACAATAGTGCTGACAGTAGCAGTGACAGCAGTAACGGTAGTTACAATAGCACTAATAGTAACAGTAACAGTAACATCAGTAATAGTAGTGCCAGCGGTGCCAACAAGGGCAGGGACCGTGGCGCTACCAGTGGTAATGACGGTGTCACTAACACTAGTGCTGACAGCAGCAGTGATCACAGCAGTGAGAGCCGTGCCAGTCACCGCGGGAACAGCAGCAGCAGTGAGAGCAGGGGCAGCAGTGCTAACAAGGGCAGGGACCGTGGCGCTAACGATGGTGGTACCAGTGGCGTGAACAGTGACAGTGACCCTGACAGCAGTAGTGACGGGCCGACAGCAGTCGTGACAGCAGGGCGAGTAACAGGAACGCTGACGGCAGCGCTGACAGTGGCGAAGCAGAAACTAGTAAAGTGAGCGGTGGTAACAACGGTGCTAGTGCTGGCAGTTGCAGCGACAGCACTGAGAACGGCAGTGGGGCTGGAAGGAGTGTATTTTAAATCATCCCCTTTTAAAATCACTTCTGGAAGTTAGTCTTTTGAAAGCCTCTCATACTCCACACAGTTCAGGTGGCTTTGTGCTCACATTTCCCTCAGAAGGATGACATGCTTGCTGGCTGTTTTCTGTGTCAACGACCTTCAGGGACAACATGCCCACCCTGACGTCCACAGAGACCACGGAGTGGTCTAAGTCCTGTGTTACTCTTGGGCTTAACTGAGGAGTTCTGTTTTTTCACTCCCCTCACCACGGCCCTACCCGATAACCGACGTATTAACAAATCGGACAGTTACAGTCAGGATTTTAAATCAGATCGTTGTCAGTCACATCTCTACAGGACGAAATTGGTCTGGTAAAGCACATTCTCAACCCGGCAGCTTTCTGCATCGCCAGCAGCCGCGTGGAATTTCACCTCACCTGCCCCACTCTGGATTAAAGGCTCTGCCTTTCGCTTCTTTTTTCCTTCTTTGGCATAAAACACAGAATCCTGTGCTTTGGGTGAAACGCTGTCCTGTTTACAAGTGTCTTTCACCTTGGGATCCTCCTACGGTACAAATGAAGAATAAAAAGCACGTTAGGATGGAGGCGCACTGTCCATCTAATCAGTTATTCTGAGAAAAGCCAGGGAAAGTGCACACTCCTCAGGTGATCTGTGGGACAGGACCCAGGTACCCCCAACGGGCCCCCTTCTTGCACCACCTGGACCATGCTTTCTCCTACATTTCTCTTCTGTAAAGTGGCAAAAATACTCCTCTCCCCCCTCCGAGGAACACCAGGGGCAGCACCTTGGCAGGAAGGGGAGCGGTTCTCTTCCCAAATGAAGGGGCCAGAGGAGGGCCTCCCAGGAGGGCATGTGTGGGGCGGGGGGCAGGTCTGCAGGGGTCGCTGGGGCTCTAGAGATACTTCTGCCAGCCTCCGCAAAAGTGCTTCAGCAACGACCACCCAACGTTCGCCCCTGGAACCTCAGGGCGGGATGGAGCGCCTCCAGTGATAAAAACAATGCCTGGCAGGTGTGTCGGGTTACACCTGAGGGGAACTCAGATTTCTAAAAAAAAAACACTATAAACTATAATAACAAAGCAGAACCAGATCACAGTGTGAGATGAACTCAATCTGAGCACCACTGCAATTCTACCCCATCGTTACATATAACCTTACATTCCACCCTTTACATACAAACCATCTGTTTAGTTCTCCTTTATTCCTCTTTACTGAACTATTTGGAAGTGAATACAGGTAAAACTATATAGATAGATACTTCTCGTAAGTTCTCTATGTCACTTAAGAAAATGTCAAACTAAACCCAACCACCTTGTACCATTTATATATGGCACTCTGTGTATTATGCAAATTACTAGGGGTTTCTTCCTTGTGGAAATTAAAAGTGAAAATAATATTTTGACCACATACAAGCACCACACAAAATCTACCTATCTTAGGAGGCTTTCCTGCAAGCCGAAACTGTGTTCATAAGTCGAGGAAGCAAGGCCTTGGCAGAATTGGTTTTAGAGACAGAAATGGTATATGATGTTTGTGCCTTGGAGGCAGCTGGAGGCTGGGATTTAGAAAACTTTCTTGGTTCTTCCTGGCATGACTCACATCTCCTTGTCACAAGCATTTTCCATCTTTGGTCTCTAAAGTAAAGACACCATACATTGAGCTTATTATCTCTGAAATAGCATTCAAAGGACAGTGACAAGGACATATTGCCCTCCATCATCACGAGGGCACAAAAGCAGAGACGATGCTGAACGAAGAGACCAAAGCAACGCACACTCATCGAGGTCAGACGCCTGCTCCCGGCACCCCAGCAGTTCCCGAGGCAGTGGGGCGGCAGGTGAAGGAGGACACACGCCCTATCTACACTGCTGGGTGGTTCCCTGACATTAGAAACAGAAGCCCCTGCAGAACTGCAGGACGGTCACCCCGTTCAAGAAACAGGCCTTGACACAGACTTCTAGCTAATCAACCACCCACACTCCAATCTGGTCTCCATGCCATGACATGCTCCGTGGACCCTAACTCGACCACAGACCCAGCCCAGAGAAACAGCAAAATATTTACACAATTCTGCTTTTAATTTCCTTCATCTTTCCTCCTGTTAAAAGTATTTTTGGAAAATAAACCTGAGACAAACTAAGCTTATTACTCTGTGGTGTCTTGAGAAATACTACTATCCTGCAGAGCTGCCATCAATCAGTCCAGAGAATTCCATGGACTGTATAGGCCAGAACACTGGAGTGGGGAGATGTTCCCTCCTCCAGGGAATCTTCCCAACCCAGGGATCAAACCCAGATCTCCCACACTGCAAGCAGATTCTTTCCCATCTGAGCCACCAGGGAATCCCATGAATACTGGAGTTGGTAGCCTATCCCTTCTCCAGCGGATCTTCCCGACCCAGGAATTGAACTGGGGTCTCCTGCATTGCAGGTGGATTCTTTACCAGCAGAGCTGTCAGGGAAGCCCCTAAGTGAAAGCATTAGTCACTCAGTCGTGTCCGACTCTTTGCGCCCCATGGACTGTAGCCCACCAGGCTCCTCAGTCCATGGGGATTCTCCGGACAAGAATACTGCAGTGGGGCTGCCATTTCCTTCTCCAGGGGATCTTCCTGACCCAGGAATCGAACCCGGGTCTCCTGCATTGCAGGCAGATTCTTTACCTACTGAGCTACAAGGGAAGCCCTCCTATTAAAAGCATTTTTGGAAAATAAGCCTGAGGAACACTGCACTTACTACTCTGTGGTGTTCTGAGAAAGAATATTTTCCCGCAGAGCTGCCATAACCAATCCAGCTGTTTTAATGCCACTGCAACGGATCACCCAACACATGAAACACAGCCTCCGAAGGCCACCTGGGACGAATGAGACTGGGTCCAATTGACGAACGCAACAACCAGTTCAGAGGCAATCCATCCTCAGGTAGAAACCAACATGCCTCCTGGAAAAAAGCCATTTCTCTGGCTCCCCAGTGAACGTCCTGGTCCCAAAGCAGGTCAAGACCTTCCATCAACAAACCAGTCTCGGCTTTGAGCGCTGCTAACACAGAAGATTCGCTGACACTTGAACCGGAGCGTTGCAGCCCCAGGCTGCCGGAAGATGACAACGAGCACCTCCTGACTGTCCTGTGACGCTGCGTGACCTCGGCAGCCTGCAGACGTCAGCTCCAGAGTGTCTGTCTCACGCTGAACTTCACAGTCTAGACCTGGCCATCAGAGCGTGGGTGTCAGGCGCCCACACGCACTCACGCTTGGGCTCCAGTGCTTGATCCCAGTTATTTACTATTTGCTTACCAACACTCGGGTTTTATGGCCCAAGAGAAATAGGTAATATTAACATTCTGATTGTGGATATGATATAAATACAATGCTCATTAACTATTTACTGGTATTTTATGGAGTCTTGCACCATGTAATATCACTTTAATATACAAACCCAATTTTAAGTGTTTGTTAAATTAACCACACTTCTCTGGAAGGTAATAGATACCTTCTTTGGGATACATGCGTGTGTGCTAAGTCGCTCAGCCGTGTCTGACTCTGTGACCCTATGGAACGTAGCCCCCCAGGCTTCTCCGTCCACGGGATTCTCAGGCAGGAATACTGGAGTGGGCTGCCACGTTCTCCTTCAGGGCAGCTTCCCAACCCAGGGATCGAACCCGTCTCTTAACGTCTCCTGCTTGGCAACTGCACCGTAAATGTGGGTGCTATAAAACTGAGTTTGCTGTAACAAAATCAGAGTGGCTGTCTTCAATTACTTTCATTGGACTGAGAGAGTCATGGTTCAAGTTAAGTGGACCATTTAAGGCACTGACAGGCTTCTAGGACTTCCGTGGTGGTCCAGTGGTTAAGAATCCGCCTGCCAAAGCAAGGGACACGGGTTCCACCCCTGGTCTAGGAAGACTCTACACGTTGTTGGGGAACTGAGCCCACGTGCCACAACTGCTGAAGCCCACAGACTCGAGAGCTGTGCTCTGCAACGAGAGGAGCCACTGCAATGAGAAACCCAGGCACCTCGACCAAGAGTAGCCCTTGCTCACTGCAACTAGAGAAAGCCCACACCAGCAACCAAAGATAAAAATAATTTTTTTTTAAAAAGGAGTTAAGGTATTGGCAGAGTCCTAATGCATTTCCCGATGTTCAAATATCTGCCTCGGGCAATAAGTGAACTAAGCCAATCAAACAAGGCAGACTGGGTCCCAAGCATGGTTCAAGTGTGCTAATTGTGACTTTTTTTTGCCATTCTCTTAGAAATGGGCATTTTGAACAGTGCAATTTAAAATTCTGCTAAATTAAGACAAACCCTTTCATTTTGTTCTCAACGGAAATCTAGATGTAAGAAGCAAACAGCTTTGCTCTTCAATTTTTTTAATACTCTGTTAAGGTATCTGCATTAGCTTAAATTATCTACATTAGCTTAGATTTATGCCCTTGGAAGCAAGTCTGATGCCAGGAATTCTGCGGGAGGGAACAAGAAGGAAAGGGGGAGTTGGCTTTCACCGATGGAAACCGTGGGGGTCAGTGGCAGTAAGTCTCACCACTGGTCAGCAGAGCCAGGGTTCCAACTGAGGACATCCGAGTCCAGAATACTCGCTCTTAAAGCCCTGGGCATTCCCTGGGTGGGAGTCCTTGGCTATAAGGAAGGAAACCTGCTGCCATAATATGTAGAGAAGGTCTCGCCCACTTCCTAGGCATCCAATCAGATCCAGAGAAGGTTCGTCTTTTTCCTCATTAAAGAATCCACAAGGATAACCCCAGACGAACATGGGAGCAGACTTGTCCTCTACCGCAGATCACAGAGAATTCTGTTTGACATCAACAATGCTTCGCGGGGAGTTCAGGGTTTCTGAGCCCAAGTTACTCGTTCTCCTTGCTTGGCCCTGCAGTAAGCTTTTCTCTGATCAAAACAAAACCAAAACAATACTTTTCTGTACAGATATCATCTCATATCGCCCCTTCCCTCTCATGTGGCAGACGTGGTCATCCTGAGCAAAACACCTCCTCGCACACCAACATTTACCTCCTGCTCCCCGAGGGGCCCAGTTCTCTGCTCCTGACCGCCATCCACCACCACCGCCCTGGGAACCCTGAAGTCACTCCTGACTCCTCCCACTTCCTCACACTCCCCAGTCATCTGGGTATGCCCATGTTCCTCCTCACGGTTTTCCTTCCCATTTTGCTGAATTGAGATGCCAAAAATCGGTAAGACACATGGTTCTTTCCTGTGTTGCTAATAAAGAAGTTGCCACTTAAGCCATGTTGAGGTGCTTCCTTATTACCCAGAAGTTCTTTCCTCTACATCCTGAAAAAAAGCCCTTTTGGAACTCTTTAGACATAGATAATTATCTATACCACGTGGAGGGAAACTGTGTGTGCGTGCTTACTTATGTCTGACTGTTTGCAGCCCCGTGGACTACAGCCTGCCGGGCTCCTCTGTCCACAGGATTCTCCAGGCAAGAGTACCGGTGTGGGCAGACATGCTCTTCTCCAGGGGATGTTCCCGACCCAGGGACCAAACCTGAGGCTCCGGTGTTGTCGGTAGGCTCTCTA